TAATCCCCCAGACTGGAGAGGAGCGAGTTGGAATGATGTTTTTATAGACTCATTTCAAAATGCACTTTGCATGTACTGCTGTTGGTAGGTAATTTGCACAAGGCCCATTTACCCCTTGGGGCTTCTGGAATTAGTATTCCCAGTATCAATAATATTAGCAATTCTAGAGTGTATTCTGTTTACCCAGGCTGAAGTCTCAAGACAAGCAAAGAAAATGTGTTTGTGTGATTGCACTCTGGCATGCGGCCTGCTCCTTCCTGCAACAATGCGCCTTTACGGACAGGGGCCCTCAACTTTTCTGGATCTGTGGGCACAGCATGACTCCCATGGAGGATGTGGTTGTCGAAAATGGCTGGCAGCAGGACCCGGCTAGCTAAAAGATGGGTTCTTTTGTGGCTGGGATGGGGAGAGAAAAAACAAAGCTGGGGGCTTGGTGGAAGAGGGAAATAGTAAGGTAGAGGGGAAATAGAGGCTAGCAGCTCGAAGTGGGAGGTACAGGCCTAGTAGTGGGAAGAGGAGTGAGGCTAAAGGCTGGGAGTGGGGAGACCCAGAAAGCAAAGAGGAAAGGTCTGTGTGGGCGGAAAATACTTGGGGTGGGGAGCAGGAAGCTGCTTCAGCTTCTCTTCATGCTGCTGAGCAGCAGGACAGTGGCAGAATCAGGAATAGGAAGGATGACCTGCAGTTTTTTCATATTTTGAATAATAAGTAAATTCTTGAATGGGATAGAGTGTGAAGGGGATTATATGCATTGCTGGAGGTTTCCTGTGGGTGACATACTGGGGACTTCTGATAAAGGGGACTTTACTGGAGTGAGGCATCCTGTGGGAGAGATGGCCTAAATGTTGGCATGGTCAAGGACTGGCACAGAACCTGTAGGAAGAAAGGGGATGGCAGGTGCACATTGGTCAAGGAGTTTGGAAACATGCCTTCTCCTGAGTCACACCATTACTCTGGATGGTCACCTCTGAATCTCAAGGGTGTTCTCAAGGCTCTGAAAGGTTCCACCTGGCTGTGCAAGCTAAGATGCCTTGACTGGATCTTGCATCCTCTTCATCAGTGCCAGTCCTGAGATCTGCTTCAGAGAGATGTCCCCTCACTCTGGGCTTTCCACTTAAGCCACTTGTATAATCATGTGATTACTGAAAGCTTATTTGCTTTGCTCTTCCATGTAGCTTTAGTTCTATAGACCATTCAGTTCTATAGGCTATAGTCCATTCCAGCTAACTCTGACGAGTCTGGAGGCCTCATCTTCATCCGAAATCAAGCCCATGTCCTGTTTTGGTTTCTTTGCAAATAGATAGATAGACAAGGGAAAACTTTCACTCTTGCTATCTTCACACAGTTATTTATCTTGAGACATTTTAGCACCCCAATTAAAGAAAACAACCCCCCATCTATTCTTATGTGGCTGAATATCTCCTGAACCTCCTTTCTCTTGGTAGACTTGGTGGCACCAAGGCCTCCTGAGCAGTGTTCTTCCTGAAGTTTTCATGTTTTGATTCAGCACACACAGAAATAAAGTCCATCTGCAGCAGGGAGCTTCTGCTTTGGGTTTTTTTTTCTTAAAAGCTGGGATGTGGATTTTCCAGTATTTTAATTTGCATGGAGAAATCAAAGGTAGAAGGGCTGTCCACTTCAGACACTCCCTTCACACACTCCAGGCAACACATGTAATGGAGGAAACTGATGGGACTGGAAGGCCCCATCTCCCCACACATTGCTTTAAACCCTTTTTGAGTGGCTAAACAGAGCTTATGCCTGGACCCAGTCCAAAGGCATTTCATATAGAAGTTGGCCAATCGGTCCCATTTTTATGATGGTTTTAGCCTGATGGACTGGCATCCAAGATTGGAGTTTATTCTTTTACTTGTTTGTAATCATCACAGAGAAAGTTTAGTATTGTGCAGATTAAAAATGATTGAATTAATCAATTAAATAAATACAGAAATTGTCTCTCTCTTTTATCACCTTCTACAGAAGCCTTTGTATGTGCTGGCATACTTGCGTTGCTTCCATGCCACTTCTGTCCTAGTATCCTCTACATATTTTGACTATTGGCGCATACTCCACATTATGAAGCAGATGTGTGGAGGCCATAGCCATCAGAAACTGCCACCAGAGCCTGCTGGTCCAAAGATGATGGACATGAACCCAAAGAGGCTGCCTAGAGCCACTTTCTCCCCATTTCTGTTAGTTGACAGCTGTCAAACGCCATCTGTCAAACCTACAACTGTGAGTGATCTGTATGTGCAAAAAGGGAGTGGTGGACGGTCCCTTACAGAGTGTTCTCGCCTTCCTCCTCATACTTAAGACTCTAGAGCTCAGAAACAGAGACAAGTGTGATCTGCACTATTCATGCCTTGTCAGGCTGAGTTGTTGCCCTCTAACAAGCCATCTTGTGGAAATCAGTCAGGGATTGCATGACATGACCTCTCACGATGGGCTATCCTGTTGTGTGAACACAGTCTTTGCTTCTCACTCAAATTCCAAGGCTGGATAGATTTTTTTGGTTACTTTTCGCTCTGTATAATCTTTACTCAGTGAGGAGTATGAGCTCTGTGGGGGGCATTAGTCTGACATATGATTGAACAGGGGACCATACTGTATCAGCCAGAATTTGCCCATTGCCCTCTGCCTTGAATTTATTATGGAAATCATCACATTGTTTAGCAGCTGTTGCCCAGGAGGCTGGTATTCCCTTGTGTGCCTGGTGCACAGTTTTATAGAAGAAGAAGAGGCAATTCTCACAACAGGAATTCTCTATTGTCTTCATTAAGGGAGATGGCTACAAGCCAGTTGCTGCTGGTGAGTATTGGTGGATATTTGGTCTACATCTGGGTTTATGAAGCTGCATTTCTGGAGTAACTAGGACTCATAAGTGGCAGGAATGGGAGTGGTACATGGAAAGGATACTCGGAAGAATGGAAAGAAGAGGATAGATGACAGCAATAGGTGGTTTATTTGCTATTCTGCCCCTGCAGAAAGCATCTCCAAAGCTAATTTTTCAAATAAACCTAACTGAAAACAGGAAGACTTCTTTTCTCCTTCTTTCTTAATTCTACAACCAGGGGTCATCTCATGAAGCTGATTGGTGGGAGATCCATGACAGATAAAAGGAAGGCATTCTTCACACATAAGTAGATTACAGAATTTGCAAGCATGAGATCTATTGGTGGCCATCAATTTGTATGTCTTTTAAAAGGGATTAGACACACTCATGGAGCTATCAGTGACTAATAATCATGATGACTATATGCTGTTGGAAGGATCAGAGGCCCAGTGCCTGAGCATCATGAGCAGGAAGGAACCATTGCATTCATATCCTACTTGTGGGCTTCAAGAAGTTGCTCATGTTGTGAATTGAGTACTGGAGTGGATGGTTCCTTGGTCTCATAAGAGTTCTTCTCACGTCCATCCATGTTTCAACCAATAGTGGCTGGTTATATTGCAGAAAGGAACTGATATATGCATAAGAAGGCAGAGCTGTCCATCCATGATAGAAGAATTTAAGCATGTATTTTATTTAGCTCATCTAGGTGGACTTCTAAAATTCCTTTGAATGATATTACTCAATATCTGCAGAAGAAAAGCCCAGAAGAAGAAGGTGGGTTGCATTACAATGTCCCTGTCCAGAACTACTTGGAAGCCTTGGTCAGCTCCAGGTGCTAATCCAAAGACATGATTCAGAGATTTTACAGCTATAAGGTCCATTTGAGGAGATATGTGCTTAATGTTACAGGGGGAAATATAGCAGAGTGGAACAGTGTGAAAGGAATAGCTGAACCTGGCAATACTCTCCATTTAATACTGGCATTTAGGATCGCACAGTTACCTTGATTGGCAGCATAGAGGCAGAATGATGTGTTGGGTGGAGAAGTACTGCTACGATAAGGAAGGCTCTGTCACAAACTGGGCTGATACTACTCGGTTTAGGCAGCTTCTGGAGGGATTGGAAAAATCCATCAAGGACAGGTGTATCAATAGCTGTTAGCCATAACAGGTGAATGGAAACTCCATGTCCCGAGGCAGAGTGCTGGGGGTAAAGCAAAAGGACTAGCTTTGATTTCTTGAAGCACCAAGTTGACTGCAGGCAGAGACAGAACACTGGACTGCATTGGTCTTCTTCAGCCTGGTGCTCCCTGGATGTGTTGCACTGCGACCACCCATTATCCCCAATCAGCATGCACATTTACCTTCCCCATGCTTGCTGTGGATGGTGGAACTGTAGTCTAACACATCTGGAGGGCATCAGGTTGGAGAAAGCTGGACTCCATGAACCTTCCTGGAGTTCTAGCAGTGCTATTTTTGTGTTACCTGCATCTCTTACTAGCTCAGTAGCAACTCACCCTATCTTGATGCTTCTCCAGATAACTTGAGAGTTCTATGCCAATTTTGAATGCATTACAGCTTGATTCAGGCTAGAGAGATGTTGCAGAGCATTTGTCAGTGTGCGTGCGCATGAGAAAGAGAGAAAGAGAGAAAGAGGGAGGGAGGGAAGAAAACAAGTTGCATAGTGGGGAAAGATTGCTTTAAGATATAGTAAAATTTAATAGGAAATCTTAGGGTATATTTGCATATAAATATAGGAGAGTGGGAGAGAAGCAAACCGGTATTCTTGAGAGGAGGTTCATATCCTAGACACAAACTGGAAAGAACATCTATTTTCATGTAACATGTTTGACTACTCTGATGTAATGTGAAAAAACAGAAGGTACCTCAGTGGATCAGATTCAAGATCCATCTGACTGAACGTTCTATTGCTCCAGTGCTGGACAAACTGAAGTCCCCAAGAGACCCCTTCCTTTTTGGCCTATGGTAGCTGGAGGTATTCAGGCTCTAAACTGAGAACTTCCACTCCTAGTTATTGTGGCTCATGGCTATTGATGGACCCATCTTAGACCAAGTGTTATTCTCTCAAGGTCTTCACTGGTCAATGTGTATTTGACATGCTTAATTACAACACTTGTACTTTCAGGCTCTGGAGAAGCTCTCTTTTGACCACAGAAATGGAGAACACAACCGTGGTGACAGAATTCATCCTAACTGGACTTTCCAATCTCCCAGCTGTCCGCTTCTCCCTCTTTGCTGCCTTTTTGCTCATCTACCTGGTCACCCTGGTGGGAAATGGAACCATCCTTCTTGCCATAGGAGTTGACTCTCACTTGCAGAACCCCATGTATTTCTTCCTCAGTAACCTTTCCTTGTTGGACATCTTCTGCCCCACAACAACGGTGCCCAAGATGCTGGAGAACCTCTTGTCAGAAAGTAGTGCCATTTCATTTGTCGGCTGTGTGTTGCAACTGTACTTCCTGGTAGCCCTGGCTGGGACAGAGGTCTTCCTTTTGGCTGCCATGGCTTATGACCGTTACGTGGCCATATGTAATCCCTTGCGGTACACGGTCGTTATGAGCAAGAGACGTTGCCTTCAGATGGTTGCTGGCACATGGATAATTGGGTTCCTCAATTCTCTGCTGCACACTGTCATGACTTTCACTTTGCCTTACTGTAAATCCAACAGGGTCAACCAGTACTATTGTGACATCCCACCAGTGCTGGCCTTAGCATGTGCTTCCACCGATGTGGCTGAGATGGTTGTCCTTATTGTTGGTGGCATTTTTGGTGTGGGCGCTTTTCTGGTCACACTGGTCTCCTACGTTCATATCATCTCCACCATCCTCCGGATCCGTTCCACAGAGGGGAAGCGTAAGGCCTTTTCCACTTGTGCCTCACATCTGATGGTGGTGTGCCTTTTCTATGGGACAACCATCTTCACTTACATAAGGCCTTCCTCCAGCCACCATCCAGACCAAGACAGGTTGGTGAGCATGCTATATGGGGTGATCACCCCTATGTTGAACCCCTTGATCTATAGCCTCAGAAACAAGGAGGTGAAAGGGGCCTTGAAGAGAGCCATAATTCTTAAAAGGTACTAAAATGGGAAAAGTTAGCTAGTAGACTAAATAGAATCACCTATTTATCCAATCCTATGGTATCCTATACACCACAAATGGAACCTAATTCTGAAAAAAAGGGACAGAACTGGGTAGCCCATATTCAGTATGTAAACATAGCGAATCCAAGAGATTCCTCTCTCTTGTATGCCTGCACTGCTTCTTATGTTCTGTGTGGAAGGTCTTGCTTATGAGATCACCATTCATTTGATAGTGGTACTGAGGAAGATATTCTTCATTATGGCGCTTGCCACAGGGAATGTTTGCTGCATTAAGATTAGGCAGGGTCTAGTGCTAAATCTTTCCACTGACAACTGAAGACATTTCTGTTTGCTTGGGCATCTCCTGACAATTAGTACCAGGAGCTACCCAAGTTTATTCTGAAAAATTTACTCTTTTATGGTTATATCAACTGATTCCATTGTATTTTATTCACCTGGGGCACTGCTCATCCTTTCCAATGGCTAATAAAATGAAATAATTTCCCCTTGGTTTTGCACTTGGAATAAAGTACACACATTAATCAGTGAATGCTTTATTTAACACATTTTTTTCAATTTTCTAACTCAAATATTTGAGTGAACATTTGTTGAACATGTGGACCAACTGGTATTCCTTCATTGAAAAATGCATTCTTTTTACTTAGGTTTTCCTGCTTTATTTGTTATATGTTAAAAATGCAACCAGTCTTACTGGTCCCAGCAGAACCTCCCCTTTCAATGTGTTAAAGCAATCATGAATCACTGCAGTTTGGCTTCCCAGATATGCTGAGAATACAATTCTTAAGCCAGGCTGTTCTATCTCTGCATTTTTAATCTCAGTTGCAGATTGTTTTCAGGAAGGTGTTGCCACATGCTCTTTGCCTTAGAAAAAAAGATAGGTGGGTCTTTGAGTCCTTTTGTTTTTGTGTTTACTAAGGCCAGGGTGACAGCATTCAGGCTTGACCTCCTTGCAACTTGAGGAGAGATGAGCCTAAAGATCTGCCTGATGGGCTAAAATCACAACGTGAAATCATGGGTTCTTGTCCTCCCTTGACCATGAAGTTCTCCAGGTGACTTTGAGCCAGTCATTGACTCTCAGCCTAACCTACTTCACAGGTTTGTTATGAGGATAAAATGGGGCTGTAAGGCAGGATAAGAATACAATGCTAAAAGGTAACCTCATAAGACTAAATCAATACTAAAATGCATAACAATGGTATTTGCAAAATATTTAAAACCATGCAAAATCACTTCATACATTGTTCACTTCTGAAATTAAACAGAACGGTTTTTAAACTAGTTAACCATCACATTGAACCCGGAATACACATGGATTTCCACACTAATTTGTACGATTTGTCCTCTAGTGATCCTTAAAAGGACTCCAGTTTTTCATTTTCATGTTCCCTCCTGTCCCCCACCACCCTTTCTTCCCATCTTTTAAAACAAGTTTTTAAAAGTTTTGAATTCTGCTGCCTGCATCTTCTAATTGCCACATTTCCCGGGTATTTTTAAAAGACAATGGTGCCAATCTCCAGATGTTGCTTATTCCTTCTCTACGAGTTGCTATGAATAGATTTTGTCAGTTTGTAGTGAAGCACTCTGTCTTACTGCCTCATGTTAGCATCAAGAGGCTTCTAAACTTGGAGGCATACATGCCTGGACCCAGGCATTCTGCAACAATCTCCTGGTGAACAATCTCCAGGCCCATAAGAATAGCTTTGAGGACAGCTGCCATTGTAGCTATTTTCTCTCCAGCTCCCTTGCTGTTATTTCATTAGGCTGGTAAGCCTGTGAGAAGGAGCTCTCTGTTTATTGCTGTTGCTTTCATCATGACCACCACGACTGATCTCTAAGCAGTGAAAAATTGCTTCCAGCATTTACATATTTATCAGGGAGAGCTTAATCCACTAGATCCACATGAGGGCCTAGAGCTGCCCTAATCTGCATTCATAAAAAGAATGAAGACTTCAGCTGAAAGATCCCTGCTGCATGGTAAGGACAGGTCTTTGCATCTTGGGAGCAACCTTTCTAGTCTGAGTAGACTGCATTGGACTAATGGTCCGGCTCAGTAGAAGGCAGTTTGCAACTGATCTTGTCCAAGCTGAGGATGTCAAATGGACATCCATCACCATCTTTCTTTCCACTACTTCTATTCCAATCCTGATGCAATCAGAATGGTTGGCCAGCATTGCTAGAGAGTGCTTCCGTTACACAGAGTTCCCTGGGGAGCGGCACTGTTGCAAGTTAGAACAGATGACGCTCACACAGAAATCTTCTCCTACCTCCATGTGAGACTGGAAGACTTTGAAAAAACAGACACCCTGCCCTGGGAATTTTTAAACTACTGTAATTAGCAGTGCTAAGTACAGAAACCCCATGGGATATCACAGACCCTGTGAAAATGATGTAAGCAAAACAGTATTAGTGAAGTTGGACATTTGACACAGAACCTATGAAATCACCTTTCTGATAATCTTTCTCCACCACAGTCTGGAGTCAGACCCAGCTCTGTCAGTCTAGGTATTCTGCATCTTCCCCCAGGATCACCAGTGATACTGTTGCTGGTGGCTATCAGGGCTCATGAAGGTGTTAGGCTTGAGCTGTGGAGGATATCTGGCAGCTTTGCATCTGATTTTGCTCCTGCATTATTTTTCCAGCAGGAGTCTGAACTCCTCCATATGCCATAGGAAGACAAGAATTCGGCGTTCAGGTGGTCCTTCAGATCGGGTTACCATTGGTGAATTTGTCTCCATGACACTTGCCAACTTTCCCATGCTGGAGTTTATGGAATTCCCATCCCATTCTTCAATAAGTTCTTAGTAAGCAGCCATTTCTCACCACCTTGGCTACTAGAAACAGGGTGGTCACCTGGTCAGAATCAGGAATGTTTCTTTGTCAGAAATGTTTCCTCTCTTCTCTGCAGGTGTATTGATATGTTTTTGTAGATTCAGATCTAAGAGGAAAGAAGGAACAGGTTGTGCAGGTAATACAGTTTGCACTTAGGCAGGACAGTTTGCAACAGAACTTCATAGTTGATACCCGAAACATTGGCATGGAAAAGAAGGAAGAGTCAGGTCCACAAACATTCTCCCATGGCCCAAAACCCAGGATGATTATTTGAGAGAAGCAGAGAGGGTTTCTCCCACATCCCAGGTGCAAAGGAGCATGACAGGGTACCTTGAGAAGGAAGCAATGTCTGGACTATTTCAGCCAGTTTTTAACAATACTCATCTCCCTGGTTAGCTCTGAATATTGCAAACAGTATTACAGTAAACAAAGCGGTAGTTCTCTGCTGCCAAGGTTTAAGATGCTATGCTTGTCTCATTGCAGCATGGTCCCTAAACACTACCAGCATGTCCTCACCTTTCTTTTTGCCATTTGGGAGATCAACAAGGATGCTGAACTGTTACCCAACACCACACTGAAATCAGAGATCAGTGAAAATGCTTTTAGTTCAGAGCAAGCCAGTTCAAATGCCATAAATCTTCTCTTTCCACTACAAGAGAATTCCCCCAACTACAACTGTGTCAGGAAGGAGAAAGTGATGGCTGTCATTGGGGGGCTCACCTCGGAAACATCAATTGGGATGGCCAATGTGTTCAGCACCTATAAGATGCCTCAGGTATGTATTTGGAACTTGATAGAGGGAGCTCGTAGTTGAGTTCAAAGTTCTAATTCTCAAGGGTAAATGTCTGCCAAGCTCACAGAGCTGTGAGTGTGTAGCAAAGCCATTTTGGCACCTCTGGTGTCATGGACCCTTCTGTTCCTCCCCAACCCCATGGCTGTAATGTGTGGGGAAGAGCCCTCCCTCCCTGGAACTTGCTCCAGTTGGATGATGGTTGCTTCCATACTAAGACAAGGGAGCAGGAGAGCCCTGATGAAGAGCCACCTCCTGGAAACTACAAAAAGGTATGGCAAGGCAAAGTGAAATTGGGCAATACGGCAGGATCAGGTGCACCTCTACCCAGGAGACTCCATCTCTCTTCCTAATATGCCCCTGGCTGGCCAGCAGTGGTTGTTTGTTGCCACTATGAATGAATCAACAGCTTTCCTATCCTTTGGATCTGGCAGCTCTCCCACTGGGAAACACAATGTGCTTTTCTGCTTCTGGTCCTCTCTGCCTTTTGGGGGGAAAAAGCAGTATCTGAACCATGATGTGTATGTCTTTTTTGTTATTTGACTGTGTGAGAGATGGGCAACATCAGCAAGTCATTTTACATGTGCGAAACAACTCTTTATTGGAGGTGCACACTAGCAATATAGAGTGAGCTGATCTCCAGTTGGGACCAGCTGCCTCAGGCATCACACAGAGCGAATTTATACATTTAGCTTTTTGCAATGACTAGAAACAGAAAATGCCATAGTGGAAAGCATTCATTTATTCTTGTGCATGGTTATCTTGACCACACTTCCATTTAGGACCTTTTCTGTTTGCTTCCTTAGACAAAGATAAAAACAACATGTCACATCTTTCTCCTCAGTTCAGCTATGGTTCCTCTGACCCGGTGTTCCAGGAAAAAAGTCAGTTTCCTTCTTTCTATGCAATGGTGCCTAACGAAAACCCTCAGTATGCCGGGGTTGTTCAGCTACTCAAGCAGTTTGGATGGAACTGGATTGGCTTGATTGTTTCAGAAGACAGTGGAGAAACGTTTCTTGGACTCCTGAGCCCAAAGCTTTTGCAGAATAATATTTGCATCGCTTGGACACAGGTGATCCCAAGAGCCTCACAGTTTTTACCACATGACATATTTCAAGAGAAAATGGAAAAAATCCTAACCACCATCTTGTTGAGTGAAACAAATGTGATTCTTGTGTATGGAGACCAACAATCTCTGGAGGGTTTGCAATCAATTCTGTACTCCAAAGAAATTGTTTCCAAGTCTCCCATTGAGAGGGTGTGGATCACAACTGCTAAATGGGATTACACTGCTGTACTGAACTGGGACAACTTTCTGCCCAAAACCTTCAATGGCACCTTGTCTTTTACCCTCCATACCAAGGTGGTGCCAGGATTTCTGGACTTCCTGGAGAGCATACACCCACTCCGGTCCAATCTTTATTTTCTGAAGCACTTCTGGCTCATTGCATTTTTCTGCTCATTCCCGCAGTATAGACTTTATGTGCCAAGGCAGAAGAACTGCACCGGGGAAGAGAAGCTGGCGAGCCTCCCTGGGTCTGTGTTTGAAATGACAATGTCTGGCCAGAGCTACAATATCTACAATGCTGTCCATGCCGTGGCACATGCTCTGCATGTCATGGATTTGGTGAGAGGCAGGCAGAGGTCGAGAGGAGGTGGGGACAGGTGGAACATCAGGAAAAGCCAGCCATGGCAGGTAGCTGGACAAACGACGGGTCATTGTAGGGGAGCCAGTGTGGTGTGGCTGGAGGGATATGAACTGGTGAGGGGTTGGGAGGCTGTGATTTGCATGTAGAGATGAAATAGGTAATGTGGAACAAATGAAACCTAGAAGGAGAGCAATATCAGAAATAGATCAGTCCTGGAGGTTTGGAAAGTGAGTTAGCACAGCCAATTTCCCAAACACTACTGAAAAGATAGGCCTCACTTTTCTCCTGGCACATGGACTGAGGGGGAATCTTTTGATGTGCATCTGACATGCAGATTTATCCTATTCCCTTTAGTCTGTCCTGTCCCATAGAATGTAGCAAGTTGGGACACTGCACAATATAAATGGAAACATGCATCATGTCTCAACATGGCAAATTCCTGGGAAAGAAGGGGAACCCATTTCCAACATTCTAACCATCCGTTCTATGTCAGGATGGAGAGTGGTTCACACATTCTTCCAACAAAGAAAGAAATGCATGGCATTTTTCTCCTTGTCGAATGCAGCTTCAGTCTTTTCTGAGAAGCATCCGTTTTAATAATAGTGCTGGGGAAGAAGTATATTTTGATGACAAGGGGGACCTGACAAGTGGATACGATCTCATCAACCTGGTCACCTTCCCCAATGAATCATTCCAGAGAGTCCGAGTGGGAAGGGTGGGCCCTGGAGCAATTCCAGAGAACGAGTTCACCATCAACAGAAGTGCTATTGTGTGGAATCACAAGTTTAACCAGGTAGGAATGTGCACTGCTCTTTTCATCACCACCTGTACCATCATCATTGGAAGCTCTTTCTGGATTCTGCCTTCCAGCATGAGTATTGTTGAATTGCAAAATGTTGAAGATGCCATGTAGTCATTTACTCATGATACATTTAATTCATTTACCATTTGGGAAATGAATTTCTCCATGCATTGTACAAAAGAGCTCAAAACCTCATTTTGATAGGTATTGTACAAAATTACCAAGTACCCAACAAAACATCAAATGGTGCAACTGATCAGCACACAGGCACTTGCTAATATATAATAGGGATAGAAGAAATGGATTGAAAAGGACAATTGGCTGAAATAGTGAAATCTTCTAGGCCAGGCTAAATGCAGCAGGCCTTTAACTGTACAAATGCAAAGCAGGGCATTAACAAACTTTCCTTCTGCCTTGTTGTCACCCCCAATGCTGAGGAATGAGGGGGCATTTAGTCATGCTTATGACTGGAAATGCACTTGCACCTCTGTTTTCAAGTTTAACGTCCATTCAGTGAAGAGTGGAGAGTACTGGAGAATGGCCAATGCAACACCAATTTTTAAAAAGACATGTGGGGGATGTAGGAAATCTCAGGCCAGTTAGCTTAACATCTGTTGTGGGGAAGCTGCTTGAAGTTGTCATTTAAAATAGAATCAGAACGCACAGAGAGGGTCAAGCCCTGCTGAAAAAGAAACAGCAAGACTTCTGCAGGGGGAGGTCTTGTCTCACTGACCTATTGGGATTTTTGGTGAGTGCCAATAAGCACATAGATCAGAGCAATTTACTAGACAATATTTACTTGGTCTTCCAAAATACTTTTGACTAAAGCTCACCAAAAGCTGCTGAGGTCCTTTTATGGATGACTAAGTGGTTTCCTTTCTGGATCTGGGTATCGTCCAGTGCTGAAAGCCAGAGCATAACTCAGAATCGTTAAAAAAGCCATTCCTATCCCCAGTGCTCTTTCTTCCTGTTACCACCAGGAGCTGCCCCGTTCCACCTGTGTGGAGAGCTGCCACCCTGGACAGAGCATGTTCGTCCAGCAGGGGAAGCAAGTGTGTTGCTACGATTGCATTGAGTGTGCCCAAGGGAGGATTTCAGCTCAAATTGGTGAGAGAATTGAGTGTTACTTGGAAGAGCACTTGTGGCAGGTCCCCTTACCCCAGGTGAATATGACCAATTCACCCCATCATTAAAGTGCTTCTTTAAGCAGAAATCCTGTAATGTGCCCGCCACTCCCTGCACATGAGCAGAATGAAAGAGCACTATGGAAGCTTCAATCCTTCTCTCTCTCTCCCCCCCCGACACATTCATGCACGCACATACGTGCGCGCACACAGAGACTGCTTTAAACAGATCTCTGGTCCCATTCAGCCTGTTTTTTTTCTTTTCTATTTGTAGATTATGCTTATTGTAATACAAATTATGAAATCATTACAAAATGTCATATAAAGGGTGTCTGATTTTTCTATGGGCTTTTCTGAACAGGACAGAAAAGACTACAGTCCTATCAAAGAGTGGATGGCAGAACAAGAGATACCTGGCAATCTGTGTAGCACACTAGGAATGGGTTTACACAAATCTGAAAATCACAAACTGAAAGATGTTGGGAAATAAAAAGAGGAAGATACAAATTATATTTTGTCTGCTGCAGCACATTCTGGAAATAATGAGATGTGGCTTTTTTATTTTGAAATATAGAAAGTGTTTAGTTTACCTAAGAGTAGGTGAATGCATCTTCTTACAAAGAGAGCAGTAAATGACAAGCAGTATAAAATACAGATTTTGCTGTAGAATTAGATGAGTTGCAAGCTCAAGTAGCAGAATAGTTTAGTAGTCCTAAGGCTTTGCTTCTTCTTTTCAGATGCAGACCAATGTGAGAAGTGCCCAGAAGATCAGTATCCAAACAAGGAGCGAGGCCAATGTATTCCCAAGGAGATAAGCTACCTGTCCTTTGAGGAGCCCTTGGGAGTTGCTCTGGCCTCCCTGGCTCTTGTCCTTTCTGCAGTCACAGCTGTAGTGATGGGGAGCTTCAGCCTGCACTGGGACACCCCCATCGTCAAGGCCAACAACTGGAGCATCACATGCGCCCTGCTCTGCTCCCTTCTGCTCTGCTTTCTCTGCTCCTTCCTATTCATTGGGTGGCCTGGGAAGGTGACCTGCCTTCTGAGGCAAACCATGTTTGGCATCATATTCTCCGTGGCGGTCACTTGTGTGTTGGCAAAGACCATTACGGTGGTACTGGCCTTCATGGCCACTAAGCCTGGAAACAGCATGAGGAAATGGGTGGGGAGGAGACTGGCAGTATCAGTGATATGTTTATGTTGTCTCATTCAAATTGTCATCTGTGCTGTGTGGCTGGCAACTTCTCCCCCCTTCTCAGAGTTTGACAGGCACTCCCAGGTCAGTGAGATCATTGTTCAGTGCAATGAAGGCTCAGCCCTCATGTTCTACCTAGTCCTGGGTTACATGGGGCTTCTGGCAACCATCAGCTTCATGGTGGCCTTCCTTGCCAGGAGGTTGCCCGACACCTTCAATGAAGCCAAACTGATCACCTTCAGCATGTTGATCTTCTGCAGCGTGTGGGTATCCTTCGTACCCACCTACCTGAGCACAAAGGGGAAGTACATGGTGGCTGTGGAGGTCTTCTCCATCCTGGCCTCTGGTGCTAGCTTACTGGGCTGCATCTTTCTGCCCAAGTTGTACATTATTATGCTGAGGCCTGAGCTGAACACCAGGGAGCAGTTAGCTAGGAGAAACTAGAATTGTGGCAGTATCCATATTAGAGCTGGGACTGTGATGGATTTCCTGGGTTTTGCCCTCTGGACTATGATCCAGTCTTCAGTGTCCCTCCTCTGTGCCATTGACAGCAGTCTTTGTGCTGCAGCACCTGACTTGGAAAAAGGTTGCTTGTTGCTCACCCTTTAATCTGTGAGCCTTCACAAACTATCTGGGCTCAGATCACTTTTCAAGACTGAACTGAGCATGAGAGGCAGTCTCTGAGTACTGGAGGGATGGATTCTGGTGACTTTACTCTACACTGTAGGGGAAACAATAATCACAACTGAGAAGGGAAGTGGGGTCACCCTTTGGAAGGCACTCTGTTAATAACTGGGCAGTTCCTTATGACAACATGCCATCTTCCAAATGGTCAGGTCCCACATCATTTGGAGCTTTATAACTCAGAAACAGCACTTTCAGTTCTGGCTGAAAACAAGCTGCTAGCCAGTGAAACTGCTATAAAAAGAATCATGTGTCCCATATAAAAGGCCCAATCTTGGTTCTGGCCACAGCATCTGTTATCAGCTGAAGTTTCAAAGCCATTCTCTTGTACAAAGCATTCCCACAGATAGCCAAATCCAGAAATCAGATGATACACATTTAAGGATGAATCCGGGGTGCATCAAAACTGTAAATGGGAGCCTGAGACTTGTTATAGCAGAATTCTTGATCTTGTGTTGAGTCATAGGGCTGCAATTCTTTCCCACATGCTATGTGGAGAGAAGATTATAGGAAGTCACTAGCAAGAAATGGAACTGTCTTACTTGACTGTAGTAGATCTTAGTAGATCTGGCCATTTTTGAAAATTTGTGAAGGCTGGGCTAGTGAAAACGTTCTTTGCCCAGTGTTAGGGATGTTGTTTTCCCCATTTGATTTATTCTGCAACAGTCTAGTAGTTCTCTGGGACAACCCATTTATAGAGGCATAGCACAAATGTTTAAGTTTCATCATTTCATGGGTGTCCTGCTGAATATGCTAATCACTTATTAAAGGCACCTTTACATAAATGGCATTACCATAATCCGAAGGAAGAAATGTAAGGCATGTGTCACCAAGACAAAGTCCAACATCTTTTTGAATTGGAAGAACTGGTGCTGGAGTCTTAGCGTAGTTTTTATGGTTTTGAGGATTATTTGTGGCAGTATCTGGGAGTTTTTCTGGTAATGCTGCTTATATCATCATTTCCCATCCTGAGGATCCATCTCACTAAGGGGAAGTGCAAGGCTTTCTCCCCTTGTTCTTCACACTGAATCGAGGTGTCCTTTTCTATGGAACTGCTGCTTTCACTTACATAAGGTCTTCTTCTAGCCACCAGTCAGAGCATGACGGGCCAATGAACATGCTATATTGGGCAATTACACTTATGTTGAACCTACTGCTCTGTAGCTATCAATATAAGGAGGTGAGAGAGGCCTTGATGAGGAGGATTGCTTCATCTATCATGTCTTATCCAGATGAAAAGCAAAATATGAATAGAATTGGACAATCAAGATCTGTCAAGTGGCTGAAGCAAATCTAAAAGACTGCCTTCTCTTGTTTAGTTTGTCCATATCTTTCCATTCTGTAAGGAGGCTATGCTTACCATACCAGATTTTTTATTTATTTATTTTTCAATTTATATCCTGCCTTTTTCCTACAAAGGGCTCAAGGCAGCTTACATTATTCTCCTCCTCCCTCTTATCCCCACAACAACAACCCTGTGATGTAGGTTGGACTGAGAGTCGGTGACTGGCCCAAAGTCACCCAGTTGGCTCCATGGCTGAGCGGGGACTAGAACCCAGATTGTCTGAGTCCCAGTCCCATGCTCTTAACCACTACACCACACTGGCTCTCCTGAATTTGCTCATATTCATCTGAAAGTGATGCAGATGAGTCTTCTTTGCTGTGAATCGCTCATGTGGAATTAGCAATGTATATGGAGGCTGGGTTGGTGAGCGTTTCCAGTTAGAACTAAAGACTTACCTCTTTGCCTGGGTATTTCCATAGTGCTACCGGCTACCCAAGATAATTCCAAATATCTCACTCCTTTATTATTCCATTTGAATGATCTCACTGCATTTTGTTACATTATTTTGAAAACTGCATTGGAAAGTTGTGTAAAAATGGTAAAGCAATACTTCAGTGAAGCAGTAAAATAAATTAACCTTGATGATGCACTTGGAATACAAATGAGTATTTTTTAGAATGGTACACCAATTTTCAATTTGCATTCTTTGAGCTCAGATATTTGAGTACGCATTTAATGAACAACTTGATGTACACATATTTCTGGTTTAAAATGTTAGTTCATTTTTTGGCTGGCTGTCAACATTGCTATACTCTTTTTAAATAGCAGGTGTAATTGTTGATTAAGATAAAAATAACTGGTGGCTGAGTTCAGCTTCCTGAGTCACAAGTTTGCACTTTTTGCTGAGGATGCTGTAGGTTTTTGGCTTTGACTTTGAGCTGAGGATGAGAGCTCCAGTCTGAGCTGGCACAGAAGGAACTGCACTGGCTGCTCTCCAAGTCAGGAAAGTGACCTCAGAGGGGCAAAGGGGGCAGCTTGGGGTGGTGGACAGAGAGGGACACTAAAGCAGCCATGATATGAATTACCCTGGAGCTGCTCTCCAGCCCACCTTTCTCCCCTCCTGTCCCATTTCCAGACAGCAGCAAGAATGCATACTGGAAGGAATGGGAAGCAGAAGAGTTCCTCCATCTCTCTGTCCCTCCTGCAATGGATGCCTGTAAACCTCTGAGTTCAGGGGCTGATGAGCATGTCCAGAACATTGTGCCCCAAGGCCATCCCAAGATGTTTGTAGGGGACGGGATAGAAAAGCTTTTAATGAATGAATGAATGAATGAATGAATAAATAAGGCTGCAAACTGATGTATATTAAGACAGAAAAAGTCCTACTACTCATTCTCTCTTGGAGTTCACAGTTATTTTTATTTATTATTTTAATAATTTTTTATTAGAACTATATCCTATCATGTTTTTTTTTCTAGAACTCAAAGCAGCTGACATCTTACTCCTCCTTCTGCTCTCAATCTTATCCCCACAATGTGGGTTTTATTTATTAAATTTATTGGATACTATGTTTTATTTTAGTCTGTTTTTATTCCAAGACCACCCTGAGACTGTTACATTTGGACAGTATAGAAAAGCTTTAAACAAACAAACAACAGTCCTATGAGGTAGATTGGGTTGAGGATCTGTGACTGGCCCCAAGTCACCCAGTTGGGTCCATGGCTGAGTGGGGAGCAGAACCCAGATTGTCTGAATCCCAGACCCAAGCTCTTAACCACTGCTCCACAATGGCTCGCTTCTCCATATGTGCATACAGATGTTTTCATTGAGAAGGATACATGCATAATTGGCAGGTGTTGGGAAAATTTGGATAAATCCTGTCTGAAAAGCATTACTCCTGTGTGCCTTTGCATTGTGGGATCAAATCCTGTCTTCCTTCACAAAACCAAGCAGTCACTGTTTAAAATGGCATTCCCCCACTCCTTTCTCTCACCTTAGGTGTAGGCTACAGTAGACAGGCCATTTTAGCCCAAATATATCTGGCCAGGGAGACTTCTTTTATATTGTTATTTATTTTATATTGTTAATTTTACATTGCTATTTTTGTATTTTATTGTATTTTATTCTGTGCTGTGAGCCGCCCTGAGGCTTCAGCAAGGGGCAGCATCGAAATGTTATAATAAATAAATAAATAAATAAATATACATTGTAAACAGCCATTGTTGGAATTCAGTTTACAATAATCTTTCGATAGCCCAGAGGGTTTCATGTTCCCTGATCATGCAGAATGTTTAGAGTTGAGATAAGGGTCTGAGCTTATCATGAATGGTTTCTAGTAGCCTGAATTTGCATGTCTGAGCAGACATGGAGATGGGTTCAAGTTACTCAACTAAAGTGTCAATACAGGCAATTAGAAACATTTTAATCTCACTACAGTGTGATTGACTGACATTTCTTTATCTGTTCTGTATGCGATGACCTCAGAATCTTATTGTAATCTCTGCATTCTGTCATCAATTGCCCTGTACCTGTGTACCTATAAATGCCCTGTAATGGTATTGAAGCTAGGCAGCGAGTTTATCTCTGCTAGCCTGGTAATGCATTATCTTGAGTCAACCGCAGGAACCTGGGATAGACAATAAAGACGTGGAGGTTCATAACGATTGATCTTTCCTACGAACCCGAGTTTTATTCCCACTTCTCAAATTGAGATTCTGGGATTCTGACATAGGTTATCATAAGTTCAGACAAACTGTGAAACAATGCTGGTCCCTGGATTTTTTGGGGTGGTGGTGGTGAGGGAGTCTATGTGATCAAATCTTCCAGTACCACACATTCCTCTTCCCCCTTTCCCCTGCAAAAGCACATCCTCAGCATGAGTAGACCTTTGCTTATCTTCTGAAGGCTGGGTCCCTTCTAAGGGATTATTTGGTGTTTCCTCAGGTGTTTCCTCCTTCCCTGAGACCCCAATCCGTGTGACAGCAGCAGCCATTGCAGGCCCGCCCTCAGTTTTGCTCTCATCTCCCATGTGTAAGTAAGAACAGGAATAATGAGTCTTGAGAGAAGATCACCGGAAGCCTTTAAATCCTTCACATCCGATTTAGCTCTTGCTTGTTCTTGCCGGTGCTGATTCTTCTCCCCATATCTCATCTGAGAAGAAGCTTTGCAGTTGCGGTTTCAAAGCTGGTGTTGTGTGCTGGTGACAAATCTGTGTCATGCATGAAGCCCTGACAGAAGCAGTGACTCATGAGGAGGACTTGCACTTGACACCCAGTGTCCAAGAGCCGACCCCACAACCCAGCACAGGGACAGCTGAGCCAGCTGCTGCACCTTCCTCTGACTCCCAGCAGGTTGAGCAAACGCCTGAACCTTTATCAAAGCCAGGGAGTCATGAGAAAGGGGAAGCTGCAAGTTCTACTCAGAAGCAGGCAGAGCAAACTGCCCCTTTCCCCTCTGGTGCTGATCTCCCTGAACA